ACTGCCATTTTAATTCAATTATTATTTTCAAAAATTTTTGACTAAAATTCTTTTCCTAAACAATTACTTTTGATAATATTCGAAAAAGTTCTTTGATAATTTTCAAATTCATTTGTTTAAAATATTGAAATTTACAAAACTTCAATTATTCGTAAATTCTTCAAGTACATATTTATTAGAAAATAAAAACTTCAAACAATAAAAAAAATGCAATTAAACTTTTTCAAAAAAATTGATTTCGAAATTTAATTATTTTTTCAAAATTCAGTCTATATTACTTTTATAATATTTAATTATTATTTAAAATTTTAACTGAAATTCATCTTTAAATCAATTTTTATTAGAAAATTCTACTAAAATCTAATTATTTAAATACAAAAATGAATAATTTATTGAATAATTGAATGTTTCTTAAAATTAAATTCTCATAAAGAATTTTATCAACAAATTTTTAAATAATTGAGTTCTTTTGACGAATTTTAATAAAAATTTTAAAAATAATTACATTTTTCGAGAAATTTGATAAAAATTGACTTAAAAGTAATTGAAAATCTGCGATGAATTTTATTATTTATAAAAGTAATTTAATTTAATTTTGAAAAATTTCTTTGAGAATTTTCAAATTCATTTGTTTACAATTCAATTTTACGAAATTTCAATAATTCGTAAATTCTTCAATTAAATATGTCTTAGAAATTAAAAACTTTAAATAATTTAAAAAAAAATCCTTAATTACACTTTCTCGAAAAAATTAATTCCACAGAATTGTTAGTTAAAAACATGAAAAATTCAGATTTTCAAAGATTTTAACTTTACTTTATTTCCCTAGAAAAATTGTATGAGGTACAAAGAAATATTGATGCACCTGAGCCGCCTAAAACTGACTGTTTACATTTACCCCGAGATTTTGAAATTTTCCTAAAATTCGGGGTAAATGTAAACACCACTGTAGTTAAGCGAGGTTTAAGAAACAAGTTATTTCAAGTATACTACTGTTTTAAGGGATGGAAAAACTGATAAAAATTCTTCGTAGATGTATAGTAAATCAACCAGTTGACTGATAATGTATCATATAAATAAACAATCAACCATTACAAAATTAGTAATGTAAAAACTTGAATAACTTGAACAAATTTTAATAGATTTTCATTCAACTTGGTAAAAAGAAGTTCTTTTTTATTTTGCTGAATAAGAATCTAAAATCGAATTTTTAAATTTCAAAATAGTGGATCCAATATGGCGGTCAAACATAAAATATTGTTAAAAATTCATCAAATTTGCTTAAATCTGGCTACTCGGGAGTTTTTGAAGTCGCTGAATACGAATTTAAGGTCAATTTTAAATTTTCAAAATGGCGGATGAATCTAAAAATATTTTTAAAAATTAATCCAATTTTCAAAAAATTTTTTTTTTTTTTTTTTTTTTTTTTTTTTTTTTTTTTTTTATCAAATTTTTTTTCAAAGAGGACCTAATTTCCTTTTCTATGGATTTTTACATTGCCAAATTAATGAAATTGTGAAATAGAAGCAAATTTATTCAATTATTTTCTTTTAAAATGTAGTTCAAGTTCTGTTTACATTTACCCCGAGTTTTCGAATTCTCAGGGTAAATGTAAACACTTAATTATTTATTAACTAAATTGACGAAAATCAAAAATCAAAGTCAATTTTTGTTAGGGCATTAATAAGGAAGAATTACATAGATATTTTTGTTTGATTTTAAAATTTATTTTTATGCAAATGCGAGACAAAATACTGAAACAGTAAAACTTTGATTTTCAATCTTTTTTGCATTAAAAAATAACTTACACTATGGCATTGCCAATTGTCAAAATAAAATATTGGCAATACTCAGAACATTTTGTAGGTGAGCTGAGGTAAAAATATTGACGTCGTACTTATTTTTAATTTGTAAATTTAGCTGAAACATCTACTGTTTACATTTACCCCAAATGACCTTATTGAAAATCATTGAATTGAGAAAAATTTTTGAAAATAATTGAAATTTTGTCAAGAATTTTATTAAAATTTTTGAAAATAATTGAATTTTAGAGAAGAATTTATTTAATTCTAAAGATAATTGAATTTCTCTAAAATTCTCCAAATTATATCGTACAATTTATGGACTTTACGGACCTTTTTTTAAAAAAACTGACTTTTACGAACTTGAAGTAAATTTACGGACCTAGTTCGAGCCCTGTAATTAATTTTCGAAACAAGGGATTAAAAGTTTGCTTCCTGTTTTGTGACACTTTTAAATCCATTTGATTTTTTCGCATGAGCGATACAATATGATAAAGAGTATAAAATTTTTGTTTTTGTGTACAATTTGCATAGCTAGTTTCCCTTTGTTTAATCCTTGGTTGATATTATGCAGAAACATTTGTAACGCAGTTCTTAATTGGCTGGGTGGTAATTAATCTCGAGTTGCTAGAATTGTTACCAGTTGTCTTCACTTTTCAATGACGGCACTGTCGGCTTTGTTGCTTTCCATTGTTGCGCTTATAAGCATCCAGTAAGTCGTATAGTTTTCTATACATTCCAATAGTGTATATATGTGAATCTGCATTTGCAGAATTAGTTGTTCTGCTTTTATTTTTCAACTTGTTAATTTTTGCCTTCCGGTTGTGTTATATTTAAAAGTTGCAAAAATATCGTGTAGGTTCATATGCATTTTTATAGAGTGTAATGTGTAATTGACGATGTATAATTGTGAAAAAACATATTTTGTTTCCAAAAAATGCTTTTAGAAAAATGTTCAATTAACAACGAGAAGGGCATTTTTATTTTTTTTTTTTGGGCAAAAATGTTTATGTGAATTGTGAATTTTTAAAAAGCTGAGTCATCTTTTTTTAAGAGGGAATCAGATATAAAAATCTTATCTCTCTTATCCTCTTGGAGGTAAAGCAAGACGAGCTTTACTATTTCCCTCTGGTCATTTCTTTCTAAGGCGGAAGTAACGACATTATGGAATGGGGTCTTATCCTAACAAGGAAAAAAATAAAGACCACTTAATATAATATTCTGAAAAAAATTGCAGAGAAAGAGAAGTGCCTCGAATGAATTGTGGCAATAATTTTAGTAGAAATAGGGAAATATTATGGAGATGAATTTTGAAGTTAGAAGAACATATTGAGTGCCTTAGTTCAATGTACTTATTCTGAAAAGATGAAATATGTTTCGTGTTATATATGCATATAGTTTTCAAAGAATTGTTTGCAAGTTCCCCGTGTAAACTAAGAAGCTTATGCAAATAATAATCTAAGTTTACAATGGACGACCTTGCACTTGCCGTAAGCATGATAAAATTTACAACGTGGTTGATTTGCACTCGTTGCGCGCACATGCAGTGTGTAAAACACATGACCCAGATTACTCGATGGCAACTATATTATGATATCACCAGCTATACTGCGGGAAAATGCAATCGATTGTGCCAATGTACCCTCGTTAAAGAGACATTGGGTTCGGATTGCGGAAAAAGGGTCAGGAAAAGTAATTAAAGTATCAAATTATTAGTGGATAATCTTTTTCAAAAAAAAAAAAAAAGAAGAAGCAGTATATCGAGTATTTCGAGAATAACTTGACTCAACAAAATTCATTAATCAACTAATTGATTTTTGTATCCGTAAATCCCGTAAAAGTCCGTAAATTTGCTTCAAGTCCGTAAAGTCCGTATTTTTAATAGAAAAATATCACAGAGAAAACAGGGTGTTGTTTTAACACTGAAATTAGTGTTGAAAGTATTATCCGCAACAAATTTTAGCTCGAAAGTGTTATTTTAACACCGAAAATAGGGTGAATTTTCTATTATAAATATTTACCATCATTGAGATTACCCAACCAAAATATTACCCGAAATAAAAACATTGAAAAGTTCGTAAATTGTACGATATAATTTTGAGAATCTTAAAGAAATTACAAATGATTGCATAAATTATGTCGTACGTTCAAATGAACAAAAATTTTATCCCTTTCAATATTTTCCAATATTATTATCTTTTAATGAGAAATAAAAGATAAATTTAACATACATTAAGAAAATAATTCATTTTCCAATTTGTAAATTAATATTTTCTACCAATATTCAAATTTAAAAAAAAGTAACAAAAAAAATTCGTTCATTTGAACGTTCAGAACTTTAGGGACATCAGAAATTAAATTATTCTCAAAAGTAATAAAATTCTTCGCAGAAATTCAATTACGTTCAAAGATTTTTAAAAATTCTCGTCAAAATTTCAATTATGTTTAAAAATAATAAAACTCTTGTCAAATTTTCAATAATTTTATTAAAATTCGTCAAAAGCATTCAATTATTTAAAAATTTGTTGATAAAATTCTTTATAAGAATTTAATTTTAAGAAATATTCAATTATTTATTTTTGTATTTAAATAATAATTGAATTTTAGTAGAATTTTCTAATAAAAATTCATTCAAAGATGAATTTTAGTTAAAATTTTAGATAATAATTAAAAATTAAAAGCAATATAGACTGAATTTTTAAGAAATAATTAAATTTTGAAATTAATTTTTTTTGAAAAAGTTTAATTGAATTTTTTTTATATTTTTTGAAGTTTTTGTTTTCTAATATATTTAATTGAAGAATTTACGAATAATTGAAATTTCGTAAAATTGAATACGTAAATGAATTTGAAAATTATTAAAGAACTTTTTCGAAAATTATTAAAAATCATTGTTTAGGAGAAGAATTTTAGATAAAAGTTTTTGAAAATAATGATTGAATTGAAATGGTGAAAATAATTTTGAAAAAGTTAGAGTAAAAATATTCTTTTACTTAATATAAAATAATGATTTTATCACTGGGCCATCTTTAATTATTATAAAACATGAATTTATAGTTTCAGATAAAATGTTCTTTAATTTGACTCGGACTGGTTATAATATTATATTTTTGTCAGTAATTGGTCCGTAAAGTCCGTATTTTGAAATACTTTGACTGGTTCGAGCCCTGAATGTGGGAATTTGTTTTTTGATTTCAGGAGTGCTCGGATAACCGGGCTTCTTTCAGCAAGGTGGTCAACTTGAAGGGTAACGGGTGTGATTCGGGGAATTTAGCAACGTCGCAGTCGTCGCGTGGTCAACATGGGACTGAAAATTCCCGCGATGGAGATCTGCTGTCTCAGGCAGCTTCTGCTTTACGCAGATTTCATTTCAAGACTGCTGGAACTCGTAGTTGCAGAGCGGTACCCCAGGTGGTGGTTATGGGATCAAGTACCGCATCCGAAACTACAATCAACACCAGTACAGACAGTGCAAACACCATGATGACCTTGGTATGATCATTTTCATTCGAATCAATTCCTGCTTTTTCATTCGGGGTTGTCACGGGTCTATATAAACTATGAAATTACCAGAAATTTTAATACAAAACCTTCAATTTTTTCTACTTCTGACAATAATTTCTATTCAAATAACTTAATTCTTGAACAACTATCATATCACAGGAAAAAAGAAGTGTTTATTTTAACAATAAAAGTAGTGTTAAAACTACATGCAACAATTTTAACCGACACTGTGTGATTTTAACACTACATTTTGGTGTTAAAATAACAATAGAGTGTGTTAAATTAACACTCGAGGGTGTTAAATTAATATACATTTCAAATGGGATTAAAATAACACCAAAATTATATGTTAAAACAACACTGTCTGAAAACTACACGCAACACATTTAACAATTATTTTTTTCTGTGTATAAAATGATTACTCAGAAATTATTTAATAAATAATTTTACTTAAATATTTCAAAATTAATTGAATTTTAAAAGAGTTACGTTTACAATTTTTATAAATTAAGGTTTTAATTTAAAATTATATCAAATTTCAATTTTCAATAAATTTCATTAGAAATTTTAAAGAATTTAAATTTTTTTAAATTTTAATAATTCAAATTTTTCTAAAATTAATTAAATTTTTTAAAATATATTGAATTAGTTATTAAAAATAATAGATTTATAGAAGAATTTTAGTTGAAAATACTAAAAAAAATTGAATTTTGGAGTAGTTGCAAATCATTGCAGAAATTCAATTCAATTCTTCGCAGAAATTGAATTATGTTCAAAAAATGTTCAATATCTACTATTTTAATAACTATTTCAATAAAGTTTTACAAAGCAATTCAATTATTTAAAAAAAAATTTTATAACATTTTACGCAAAAATTTAATTTTTTTCATAAATAATAAAAATTTTACAGGAATTCAATTATTTACAAATTTTTTATACATTTCTTCGCAGTAATTCAATTATTATTATAAATAATCAAATTTTTTTACAGGAATTCAATTATTTTTAATACAATTTTAATCGAATTTCTAGAAAAATTAAATTATTCTTAAAAATTTTTTTAAAATCCGTGAAAAGATTTTGATATTTAAAATTTTTGTTAATAAAATTCTTTATTAAAATTCAATTTTTTTTTAGAAAGAATTGATTTAAAAAAGAATTTTAGTTAAAATTTTAGATAATAATTGATAAAAATTAGAAGCCTTATAGCGTGAATTTTAGGAAATAATTGAATTTAGAAAAGATTTCATGAAATGATGAAAATAATTTTGAAGAAGTTACAGTAATAATATTCTTATAATAGGTATAATAAACTAATGATTATGTCATGTTTTATAAAGGTTTGAGTTTGAATACAGTCGGGCCTCCGAACTGTACGCTTTCAAACTGTACGCTGTCGCCAAAGTGTACGCTGGCTTTAGTTTTTAAGTGCTCCACAGTGTACGGTGGCGCTACTAAATTCAGTGCCGTATATTTGAAAATGTTGCCTTTTAAGGAAGAATCTGACGGACAGTCAAATCAAAAGTTATTCCAATGTCATAATTTCGTAATTTAAAAAAACAAATTAAATTTTAAATGCGTCTTGTTGGAAAGGCGAAGAATTTAATTTTGAATATTTAAAACAATTAAAAGTTTCATTTGAATAAAAATTACAATTTTCTGTCAATAAGAAACATTTGTTAAATTTTAGGTTATGTTACTTAAATCATTCATTATTGACAAAAAATTATCATTTTTATTCAAATATATATGTAAAATGTTCAAAATTTAGAAAATTAAATTCCTTACGCTTTTACCAAAAGGAATTTAAAATTTAATTTGACTTTTTTTTAAAATACGAAATTATGACATTAGACTAACTTTTGTTCCGATTGTTTATCAAATTCTTCCTTAAAATTAAAAATTTTACTGATTTAATCAAATTATTTTCTTTTCCATAATTTGGATAAATCAGTGGACTTCTTTTAATTTCATGAGGCAATACATTTTGGTTAAAAAATGTTAATTTTTCTAACATTTATAATTTTAAGAATAATATATATTTTTATGATTTTAATTAATTTTAAATCTAAAATTATGTATATTATAGTCCCAGACGATAAATGAAGAGCAACAAGTTTTCAAAACTTGATAAATTCCTATTTTCTTATTATTTCGAGAAATCGAAATAAATGACTTTCCTGACATAACCACTCAGTTAATTTCAAAATAAAAAATTTGTAATATTTAATATTTGTAACAATGTTTTTATATTTAATACGTTCTGTTTTTAATCAAACTTTCACATAATAAAGTAACTTTAAGGTTTTGGTAATTTGTTCTAATAACAAACATAAAAATTAAAAGTCAACTTGGTTATGTCAAAAAGTTTTTAAATTGAAAATTCGCTGTTAATAAATTTTTTTTTTAATTTAACAGGGACATGACGATTTGTGAGATATTTAAATTATTAAATTTATGTTTATCTCGATTTTAAAAAAATTATATTTATCAACTTTTGAAAACTTGCTCCTTAAATGCTCCTTAAAGACTGTGTACAGTCCTGAAAATTAAATAGTGGGGATGAGTTCGTCAGCGTACAGTTTGAAATCAAGTGGAGGGGTTATTTCTGGGGTACCGTACAGTTCTGCGGCCCGACTGTATTTTGAAAATTTTAATTCCGTTAGAAAAATAATAATGATTGTATATTTTTATTTAAAACAAGTTATTGATGTTTGCATATAATTTTACAATTAAAAAAATTTGTAACATTCTTTTACTATCTAATTACTTTTAGAGTGAATCAGAATATTCTATAGAGTCAGGGAAAAAGTCAAAATTTTGTTCGGAATTCAGGGAAAAGTCAAGGAAAAAGAAAATTAAATTTTTGTGGCAACCCTGATTGAGTATTAAATAAATATTATAATAATGCAGAATACAGTATTATATCAAAGTTCCGTGTATTTATAAAAATTTATTAGTTATTTAATTTGGTTAAAAATAAATGTATAGTTTTAAAAACCTGGAAAATTTGGAAAAGTCAGGGAATTTGAAATGAGTAAAAGCGTGGCAACCCTGAGTCAGGGAAAAAGAAAATTATAAATTTTTCTGGCAACCCCATTTTATTGTTTCGATACTCGATTTCTACTCTATTCTCATGAAAATTATATGCAGTTTAGAGGAGAGTAAACTGTTTATAGACAGAATACTAAAATAGTTGAACTTTATTTAGGCATCAAAGTTATAAAAATAAGACGCAAAGAGAACTATTTTTAATCTTTTCATCACTTTTATTTTATGAATTCCTGAAACTTTTGAAGAAAATTTTAATCAAAGAAGAAGAAGAAGAAGATGTCTTTTATTTTCGCTGACAATCACTTTTCCTTGAAAATGCAAACATTAGTAAAATATTTAGGGACATAAAACATTAAGAACAAGTTTTTCTTGTCTCGTGGAAATAAGAGGAGGTTCTTTTGTGCTTTCAGGTAACGAATACAGATGGAGAGCAACACGACGATAGTTTAGACCTTGTAGATGGTCTTCCAGAAATGTCACCTCCTCCCACTTCAAATAATCCCCCTTCACAGACCAATCCCTCGCACTCGAATAATCAGCCCCAGGGGACGAATTCCAACAACCACGTAGAAAATGGCACGAAAAATAATAATAATAACAACAATAACAACAAGACCAATGGCACAATAAATGCACAACTTAGCACTGCCCCCAAAACTCAGGCACCAAATTTAAATAGCGTCTTAGATGGTCCCGGTGCACCACCACCCACTCCTTTGGTTGGCGCTCATCAAGAATCCAGGTTTACCTTCATTAGTGGAAGAACACCGCCCCTGCCAGATCTTAGGGCAACCGAGTTCTTTAGGTAAGCATTTTCTTTTCTCTCTCTCTCTCTCTCTCTCTCTCTCTCTCTCTCTCTCTCTCTCTCTCTCTCTCTCTCTATCGCTCTCAAAACTTCCTTAAGGACCTAGCCTTGTTTTCGACAAAAGTAAACGTCTCGAGCGTGGCGTTGCTATTTGTAGATATAGATATCGAATCCAAGAAAATAGTATATATAAGTCTTGATTGCTGAGAATAGGTAAAAAGTTGAAAAGAAAATCCGATAACGATATCTGAGGACAAGTAATATAAGAAAGACTCTCTACTCTCTACTCTCTACTCCCTACTGTCGAAAATCAGTTCACATCGTTTGTTCCTCTGAAAATCTTTTCTTTTCAAAAGATCTTCTTGGCACATAAAGAGGCTTTATTAAAAATAAACTCATTATTTTTTATTCTCAAGTATTTTACTATAAATTATTATTAAATGATTATTATCCTCTTTTCAGTATCTCGTCTTTTATAATATCATATATTTCTCTTTTAATATCCTCTAAATTTCTCTCGTATTATAATATAATATTTTTATCTACTTTACATTGTAGAAAAATTTTACTTATTATTTTTTATTTAAATGAGAGCAAACAAAATACTCTTTGAGCCATAGGATTTTATTTAAACAAAAAAAAATCTTTTTTTCAGCTTTGCTTTTAGATAAAATAAAATTTCAATTGTGTTTACAAAAGAACACTCTTTCATCTTTTACTTTAATATTACAAACAATTTTTTTTCCAATAAAACAAATCTGACGCTCTACAGTGAAAGGAACCAAAAATTTTAGTTTGGGGCTATGTTTGGGTCAGATTTATTTTGATTTAAAGTTCTTTTTTATTTATTAAGATTCGAAAACTGTTTCCATTAAATATTTTTGATCTAATAAAAAGTTGGACATCGATAATTTATATTTTATAATAGAAATTGATTCTCTTTCTGTGTTCTTACTCCAAAAATTATAAACAAAACATACAAATCTTTGCTTCTTTTGCTCTTTCTTCTTCTCTTTTTGCTTATTTTCTTTCTTCGGAGCGTGTCACATGTAAATAATATTATAAATGAAAAATAAATTATTGACAGTGACTACAAACTGTTATAGTAAACAAAATAATTTACAAAATTTTTTATTTTCAAATATCAACTTCAATTTTTAGATAATTTCAAATTAAAAATTTTAAAAATTCAACTATTTTCAATAAAATTTTTAAATTCTTCGAAACAGTTAAATTATTTTTAAAAATTTGTAATAAAATTTTTCTAAAGAATTGATAACTTTTTCTCCAAAGTTTTGATAGTAGAATTTTTTTAAAATTTCTCCAAAGAGTTCAATTAATTTAAAAAATAATTGTAATAAAATTATAGAAAAAATTCAATTATTTTCAAAAAAATTTCCATAAAATTCAATAATCAAACTTTTGATTACAATTATTAAGATACACGATTATTTTCAAAATTTGAAAGAAATTCTTTATTAAATTCAATTATTTTCATATTTTGCAATGAAAAATTTAAGAAAAACTATTATTTTCAAAAAACTTTAAGAAATTCTTTAAAAGAATTTAATTATTTTCTAAAAATGTTTTAAAAATTCTATAATCAAATGTTTAATTACAATTATTAACAAAATCGACTATATTTAAACAATTGAAGAAAATATTAGAATGAATTCAATTAATTTCAATATTTTGATAAAGATTTAAATAATATAATTTACATTTAATTATTTTTAAAAATTTTAATAAAATTCTTAGCAGAAATTCATTTTTTTTTAAAATAGATATATGTAATAAAATTCTTCATAAAAATTCATTTAGTTAAAAAAATTTGGTTAAAATCTTCAAAAGAATTGAATTATTTTTAAAGATTTTAATAAAATTCTTTGCCAAATTCAATTATTTTCATAAATAATAAAATTCTTTGCTAAAATTCAATTATCTTTATAAATAATAAAATTCTTCGCAGGAATTCAATTAGTTTCAAATTTCAATACAATTTTATTTCAATTGAAAATGATGAAAATAATTTTGAAAAATTTACTGTGACAATATTCTTATAATTTATAAAATAATGATTTTATCTCTCGGTCATCTTTAATTACTATAAAACATGAAGAAATCGATCACTCCGAGTCTTCGACTCGGCGCAATCGCTATCTTCAAGTTTTATAAAAATATTCTTATAAGTTATAACTTTTTCATTTTATAACCAATCAATTTACTTTGTACAGAAAAATGATCCTATTAAACAGGACTTTCCAACAATATTTTTCAATTGAGCAAATTCATTAAAAAAAAAAAAGTTATAAACAAAAGTCAAAAGGTGGGCCGACCTCGACTATACTCCCCTATATTTTCTATTTCTTAATTATAATTTTTTAACATTTAATAATTTTCTCATATTTTTTATAAATAAAAAGGAGAAAAATTTGCATTATTTAGATCAGTCAAACAAAATTTGTTATTGAAAAAAGCATATAATAAACAAAATTTATTTGTTAATCATAATTTTTTATTTTCTAATTTAAAATATTGCTTTATTATAAATTATGAAAAAATACCTGCATTTTTTCGATCGGTCAAACAATATTTTAAAAAGAAAAAAAAAACAAAAAAAAAGAAAAGCATACACAAAAACTAACTTCAAAGTGTGGACAGACAGAATGAAAGAATGCAATACGAAGATTATTATAGTTAATTGTTATGTAATTTTTTTATTTAAAAATCCATATATTTATTTTTTTCAACAAGAAAATATTCCCTAAATTTTTAATTAATTTGGATATTTTGGAAGTAGACAGAGAGAAGTACTATCTAGATGTTTCTTAGAGTTGATCGAATCACCAGATACTTGGTACATGAAATAAATTGCAAAAAAAAAAAAATTGAACGAAAAATACAATACTTGTGAACATTTTTATTTTTAGTACTCCAGTGAGGGGTTCGGTGGATGCCGGCCAACCAGATCCGAACCAGATCAATTCTCTTATGTCATTTGTTGCTGCCAAAGAAAAAGAGAAGGAAAACTCGTGTACTAGTTTAGTGAATTACATAACATCCAATGAGTCATCGAGAAAAAATTCCCAAACTACTCCTGAGTTGGAAAAAGGTGCAATTGACGCTAAAACAAATCAGAAATCAGCAAAACCAAATATAAATGTAACCACGAATCCATTAGATATTTCATTGTGTTCACAAACTCCATGCAACACTCAGACATCGATCGTTGGTTCTAGAGGTCGAGGAAGAACGGCAGGTGAGTTCATTTTTTCCCCCCTATCTTTATATTACATCCAGAATTTTATTTACATCGAAATATTTCTATTGCATTGAAAATACGTATTATTTTTACCAAAAGAAATAATTATTTTCATGCGAGAAAAAAAGTTAAACAATTTTTGTCACTCTCTTAAAATCACGAAATAACTCTTTCCTCACGTTTAGAAAAGAGTTTATTTTTCCTCTAACAAATATACATCTATTTTTTTCCCCCTGTGAGAAAGAATGTTTCAATCCCTAAGGCGCAAAATTATAGGAAAACGTTCTTCATTTTTTATATTTTTAATATAGAAAACTATTTTTGATTTAATGAACGCTAAGTGAATTATTGAGATGCATTGTACGGTTAATAAATGAGAAACGAAACAAAGAAAAAAAGAGTCGATCATATAAGAAATCATGCAATCAACTCTTGGAGCATAAGAGGAAAAATATTTGTCTATTCTTTTTCCCGTTTTTCCACTCGCAGCACGATAAATCGATCGGTCGTGGCCAATCGGGTTCGAAACATCTTTTCCCACCACAACACAAACAGGAAACACAGTATAGTGTATCAATGTGTCGGAATTTATATTTAAATTTATCGCTGCAACACAGGTAGTCGAGTTTTTTTTTCACGGGAAAATTCACACGAGATTTTACAAAGCTCGTAATTGAAAATTCTAAAAACGACATAGCTTCTTCGTGAGATGGAAAAAAATTAATTGCTTTTAAAATGTCGGGGAAAATCAAATATTTTTGTCAAAATATAGCGTTTATCTTGATGAAAATATATTACAAAGTAGATTTTCATTTTATTTTTTATCAATTTAATAATACAATCAGTTGTTGATTATAAAATAGAAAATAAGCCAATTTTTTCATTTATTAAAAAAAAAGTAGAGTTTTGTTATAGAAAATGAGAATGAAAAATAGAAATTATGCAAATTTTCTATCTCTTCAAAAAAAGAGAAAGACACTTGAGATTTTAAAAAAAATTGTCATGAGAAATTATAAATTATACAAGTTTTTTCACTTATTTCTAAAAAAAAAAATTGGGAATTTTATAAAAATCATTGTGATAGTGAAATATAAATAATGCAAATTTATTCCTTTTTTTCAAAAAAGAAAAAAAACTTAGAATTTAGTTAAAAAATTATTGTGATTATGACATGGAAATTATGCAAACTTTTTTTTATTATTTCTAAAAAATTTTATAATTTTGTCAAGAATAGAAATTATATCTAAGTATAGAAATTTTTTTCCCTTTTTTTACGAAAGAAATTTCAATTTTTGTCAAAAAAAATGTGCATATCATAAAAATTTTGTTAGAAAATTGTCTAGCTAAGAAATAGAAATGGTGAAAATTATTTTCTCTTTTTACCCAAAAAAAGAATTTTGTTCGAAAATTGTGATTATGAAATAAAAATTATTAATAAATCATCAATAAATTATTAATAATTTCCAAAAAAGGAGAGATTTTATTCAAAAATTGTGATTATGAAATAGAAATTATGTAATTTGTCTTCCTTTGTTTCTAAAAAGAATTATTATTTCGTTAAAAACCGCGATTAAGAATAGAAATTATGGAAATTGTTTACTTTTATTTCCAAAAGAAACTTAAAATTCATAAAAAAATTATTCCTTTATTTAATAAAAAAAAATTGAAATTTTGTTAAAGAATTGTAATGAAGAAATAAAAATTGTGCAAATTATTACCTTTCTTTGAATATTATGATCAAAAATTGTGATTAGAAAATAGAAATTATGTATTTTTTTCATTTATTTATAAAAAAATTACAATTTCGTTAAAAATCGTGATTAATAAATAAAAAGTATGACATTTGACATTTTTTTCCTAAAATCAAATTAAAATTTTGTAAAAAAATATAATATTTCATAAAATTTTTTTCCTTTATATTTCTAAAAAAAACTTGAAATTTTGTTAAAAAATTCTAATTTAGAAATAGAAATGGTGCAAATTTATTTTTTTTCAAGAAAAGAGATTTTATTCAAAAGTTGTGAATTAAAGTAATGAAAATTAAAAACAAACAGAATTTTCTTTAAAAATTGTGATTAAAAATAGGAATTGTGCAAAATTTAATTATGAGTTTCTAAAAGAAACTCATAATTTTATAAACAAAGTTATTGTTATTGAGACAAAGAAAATATGCAAAATAAGTATATTTTTTATGTTCTAATTTCAACAAATAAGATTTTCATATAAAAGAAAATGAAAAAAAATTTTATGATTTTTATGATTTCGATTTGTCAATTACAATTTTTGAAACAAAATAATAATAATAATAATAATTTATAATTTGTAATTAATAATTATTAATTAATAATTTATACCTAATTTATAATTTATATTTTTAAATGTTCACCTCTTTTATTTTGATTTGACAATAATTTTGTACGATTTTGTTCATTTTTTTAAACGAAATTGTTAAACTAGATTGATCAGGATTGCGAACACTTTTCCTTGATTATTAAAAAAAAATTTTATTTCTTTCTATCTCAAAGAGAAATTCGACTCGGTCAAGCGAATTACAATAATTAACCAATTTGCCTCGAGTCGCTACTACCATTTGCATAAAAGAGTAAAGCGTTCAATAAATTTTAATTAAAGGTTATTGAATTTAAATACTGAAATATTTTTCACGTCCTTTTGATATCGCAAAAACGCTAATTTCTCTAATCCTGGGGCCACTTAACTAATTAAACGAAACAAACCAACAGATATATATACAAACATTAAAGTAAATAAAAACAAGTATTTGGTTTATTTTGTCCGATAAACACCCGCCATTTGGTGTTTGTCAGATTTTATTTAAACATTCATTAAATAAACTAGGAACAGTGGATACATTTATTCATAGATGTATATCTAAAGAAAATTATTAGTTGAAAATAGTTTTTTTGTCTTTATTTTTATTATTTTTCTATTTTTATTATTCTTGTATTTTAACTATTTTTGAATTTTTGATTTTTTAGTTATATATTTTTATTATTTTTCTATTTTTATTATTTTTCTATTTTAACTATTTATTTATTTTTCTATTTTTGTATTTTTATTTATTTATTATTTTTTATGTTTTATTCTCCCACCCAATATGTTGATAATGAGCAAGGTTCTCCAATCAATACGTGGACGATAATGAGAGGAGAAAAAAAAATTAATTTGTGACCATTGTGAGAGGAAATGAATTGATGTTCTTTCTTTCAGAATCTCATCCCCTCGTTACAGCAATTCATACTTGGGTCAGGCTCATTTTCCCGTTTTGCGCAATAGGTATAAATTCGTTGGCTGAGAAAAGACTCCTGAAATAATTGAGAAAAAATTAATAAATAATTTTTACTTTTAGAAAATATTTCATTTTTCACTCGCATTTATAATTTAATGAAACAATTTTGTAATCTAATTTTTTTTCCCCTTGTTTTATTTTCTATTATCATGCGAACTTTCCCCAACTCAATATTATTTGTATTCAACACTATACAAAATTGAATACGAACATATATATAAGAAAATTTATCTCGAAATACTTTGCCTTAGGAAAATTGAGCGTAGTATATATTTGTTTTGTTACATAACACAGTGGATTGCATGTAATAATTGTATTGTTTCTCTCTTCATATATTTTACACTGAAAATTTAATTTCATTATTTAAATTTGAACTTCAAACAATTGATTTTTAAATATTGTTGGATATTAATAATTAATAATCTTTATTACTTTTTATTAATTTTTTTAATTCAAAAGTGTTTTTAATTCGGAGAAATTTAATTTTTTAATTATTACTTTATTGAATATTTTAGATAGAGCGGAAAATTAATTCACAATTCACGATATTTTTCGAAAATATTTTCTAAAAATTATTAATTTTATTCTCTGGAGCAATTTGAGAATAATTAAAATTCAAAGCATGTTATGTTCTATTTTATAATTTTGGGCGTCTTTTCATGGTTGCAATTTGTTGGTAACAAAAATTACTAATGGCGTGTGAGCTTTCTGTTTCTTGTATATATACATTTTGGCGCCATCAATTTTTCTATGGGCTTTTATTTTTTAACTTTTGCCTGTCACTTTCGAAAAGAGTAATAATAATTCGATAGCAATTATTTTACGTATATTAAATATGACTGTATTACGAACACGAGTGATTAATTTTTTTATGGGTCATTCTATTTTAAACCATTACAGAAGCAAAAGGCTGTCACATAAAAATGATTTTTTAATGGATTTGAAAAAAAACACGATAAAAAAAATAAAAAATTAATTTGAAATCTAATGAAAGTGTTTTGTGAGAGGGTTTTTGTGAAATTTACGCAGTAATAGGAAAATTTGTTTTTATTGACTTCAATATTTTAGATAGTATTTTATGTTTTTTGAAACAATAAAAATAAAAATCAGAATTTATTTTTACAAATTGCTATGATCCATAAGTTTTGAATATGTTTTAAATATTTTTTCTTTGTTGTATCGAGTATTTTTTTCCATTAAATAATTTTATTTAGAAATTGAAAATTAAAATAATAGTACAGCTAAAATCTAAAAATAGTATAATTAAAGTGAAAACATTTCTTTGCTATAAATATGATTGTTGATTGTAGTTTCCATTCGTGAGATGATGTTTCAACTTGAGAGACAATTCATCTCGTTGCTTTTTATATGTGTGCTGTAATTTCACATTTGCCTATAGTTTTGTCTACAACTACAGCTTCATATGTTTCTCACATTCATGTTTTATTTCACCAGCCCTTATCTCGCTTCCTGTCACAAGAATAGTATACATACAGCAAAAAGAAAAAAAATTTTTTAAGCACGCCAAACGCTATAGGTTTTGTGGTTCATGCACATTTAACGATGGGTCCTAAATGAGAACTCGTTTCTTGTTTATGAAAAAGCAAGGTAGAAAACGCACATATTATACAAAGAAGTGACGAAAACAAATAGAAAGTGTGCGAATTAAAAATCAGTTTTTTACCAGAAATTTTTTTTTTCCTTTCTTGAATGCATTTTGTTTTGTGATCCATCGAAACTTGTTCAAAACAGTGTTAAAAACCCTAATTATTTATTCATTAAAATTTACTAAAATAAATATTTTCTAAAATTAAAAAATTCTGTTGAAATTTTTTATTACGTTTTATTTATTTATTTTTTTTTGCGAAATACTTCGGAATTAGCTGTTATTAGTATTTGCATACATTCGTGTTTACACTTTTCTTTTGGTCACGAAATGCATTCTAATGTAATCTCTCTCCTGATAATAAATTTTTTTTCCAAAGTTTATTTGCAGTACGTGATTTGATTTTCAATTATAAATTTTACTTTATTTGACAAAAAAATAGAGTATATTTTTCATATGGAGAATAACCGATATATATTAAATACTGAATATTTTTATATGAATTTCAACGTCAGAGAGATGATATAATATATTAAATTCTGTGTAGAAATTTTTTTCGTTCTATTAATTTATTTACATTTACTACTCTGCATCCTGTTTACTAAGCTCTTCATCAATATGCACGCAAGCACCTTAGATTTAGTAGATTTTTAAAACAAGTCTGTACTTTCTGATGTAAATGTAATTTAAAAAAATCCTTTTTGTAAACTTTATAAATATTGAAATTCAAAAATAATTTAAATCCAAGAGAAATATTTCTGAAAATTAATAGTAAATTAAAATAAATTCAAAAAGTAAAATATTACGTAAAATATTAAATAAAATAGTAAATAAAATATTAAATGAAATATAAAATAAAACACACATTTTTCGAGCAATTTTTCCGAATTTGGAAAAAGTAGATTATTTCGTAGCTTCTATTTTTAAATTTATAACCGGATTGATAAAAGTTATTAATTATCAATTATAAAAGTTGAGATATTTTTTAAAATCATAACAGCTTTATACTTTTATGTTTTATCGCTTTGTTCCAGCTTTTAACAAAATTTTGAAACTCAATTTTTAATTTACTAAGTGCTTGAATCCTTTTTGATATATTAGAAACCCCCGAGAATCAATAAAAGTTTTGTTTTTAATCTTTTTCATATTTATTTTTCGTTGTATTTTTTTCGAAATTGTTTTATATACAATACAAAAAAAAATTGAGCCCAGTGACCTGATTTTGAAAAAAAAGAAACAGATTTTGAAAGAATGATTGTCAAGGTATTTCTGTGAATCGTCTCACTTGCTCACTGACTTGCGTTTGATATGCATTCAGCGTACACTACTGATGACAATTGGAAAACCATCTGTTTTTCAATGCATTCTTAAGTTCTCTTAAATTTAAAAAAAAAGTCAAGTTTTCCTATTATTGGAAATGCGGCGAGGAATTTTTTTTAATTTCATCTAAATTTTATAAGTACATACTTTTAATATTGATTGATTTTTTCTTAAGAAAATTATTCGAGAGAAAAGAATTCAAAAGAGAGTATATAATAATTGAAAAAAAGGATTACCTTTGAGAAAAAGTGACATTTTGATTAAATTAAAAGAACATAAGAAGTAGTGACAAGATGAGAATGTGCTTGCAAAAATTGGTACACGAAACACGCTTTGTTTCCTGTTTTACAACATTTTTTTTAGTGACTTGGCTTTTTATCAATTGAAATTGCTATCTTGGAAAAATTTCAATTATCTCTTTCTATAAGTATTTACTGTATTTTTTTCAAAAAGATTCATTTTTGACTTTATAGAATAAGTAGTCCTAAGCATAAATGAGAAAATTTGGGTGATTTTTCTGAAAGTTAAATTTTTTTTACGTCTTGATTAATTTTATAAAATTTACTCTCTAATAATTGTTAACTATTTTCACAGTAAAAATTTAACACCTACTTTTCATTAAAAAAAAAAATTAAACAATTTTATTCAACTGAATTTATGCATTTTTATTAAACTCTTTCTTAAACTTTTTTCTTATTCTAGAAATAAACTGCAATTCTAAATTTTTATGAAATTCAATTAAATTGAATATAATAGGTATTAATATTATTTTCCTAACCTTCAGTAAGAATTCTTAAAAGATTCAATAACTTTTAAAATTAATCATTTTTATAAGTAAAAAAATTAATTTTTTTAAAATATAAAATTTATTTCAATTACATTTGACAAAATTTCCAATTAATTGAAAATTTTAATAAATATTTTTAATTTTTTACTAGAATTTGACTATATTTAAAAAATGTAAGTTAAAATTTATCAAAAGGCTAATTTATTTTCATAATTTCTAAATTAAATTATTATACACACTTGAATAATTTTTGTTCAATAAATATATAAATATATAAAAATTACTTATTCATTTTAAAACCAATTCGTATTCGAAAATTTTACGAGAGTTCAATTATTTAAATACAAAAATAAATAATTGATTATTTTTTAAAATTGGATACTTTTGGAGAATTTCGTCAAATTTGTTTAAAACAATTGATTTCTTTCGAAGAATTTTAATAAAATTGTTGAAAATAATTACATTTTTCGAGAAATCCAATTTAAAATTGTAGGTATTAAAAATAATTGAGATCCTGTGACGAATTTTATTATTTAAATTTAAATTATTTATAATTTTTTAAAATAATTGTAGATATTCCTGTAAAAAATTTTGTTATTTGTATTTAAATAATTGAATTCTTACGAAAGATTTTATTAAAAGTAGGTATTAATATTTAATATTTTAATAATTTTAGTTTATTAAAGATACTTATAAAGAATGTTATTAAATTTTTTGAAATTAATTGCATTTTTCGAGAAGTCCATTTAAAATTGTATTAAAAATAATTGAAATCCTATGAAAAATTTTATTATTTATTATAATTGAATGCTTACAAGAAATTTTATTAAATTTTTTTAAATAATTGAATCTCTGTGGAAAATTTTGTTATTTGTAGAAAATAATTGAATTCTTACGAAGCATTTTATTAAAATTTTTGTTAATAATTAAATTTTTTTTTAAAACTTTATGAATATTTAAAAGAATAATTCAATTATTTCGATTAATTTAATTTAAATTGTATTAAAAATGATTGAATTTTTACGATGAATTTTATTATTTATGAAATTAATTTAAATTCTTATTAACAAATGTTTTCACCTTCAAAATTCTAGAAAAAAATTAATTTTTTTCAAATAATTTAATTAAAATATTTTAAATAATTTAATTCTTTTTAAAAATCTTGAAAATTAAATTTCAAATAATTGAATTTTTGCGAAGAATTTTATTAATTTTTTTTTAAATAATTGAATATTCTTTTGAGAAATTTTATTAAAATGGTAAATTTTTAAAATATTTGGATTTCAGCGAAGAATTTAATTAATTAATTTTTTTTTGTTTGAATAATTGAATTCTTTAAAAAAATTTTATTAAAATGGTAGATTTTGAAAATATTTGAATTTCAGCGAAAAATTTAATTATTTGTGTGGATAATTAAATTTTTGTGAAAAGTTTTTGAAAAAATATTTGAAAATAATTGAACTGTTTCAAATAATTTTGTAAAATATTTGTTAATTTTTTCTAAGAAGAATTTTATGAAAAAATTTTAGAACAATTTTTTTATCAAAGATGGAAGAAGTTAGCAAATAATAATAATAATATTAATAATAATAAATAGAAAAATTCCCGTAGGAATAAAGAAATAAAAAAATCGAAGTTCAAAAGTATCACTTTCAGAAAAACCATCAAAAGATAGTAATTAAAATTGGAAAAGTTGCATTAACTTCAGTTCGTAAATTGCAGAAATTTTCTTTATTAACAAATGAAAGGACTCATTAACATAAAGAATTTTCTCGATTTTCTAATTTTTCGAACTGATTTTTGCAGGAAATGAATACTAGAAGTTTGTTTTTTGTTTTTGTGTTTTTCGAATATTAGGCGGAAATACCGGTGGGACCAAAAGAACAGCTCAAGCCACAATTGTGGTCCAGCAACCATCACTTTCGCTGGATGCACCTGCAGCAACAATACTTCTCCGTGCCGACTCGGATGCGATGCGTCGTGAAGAAAATATGCGTCAACTACTCGACGTTGCTGACACCTTGACTTTCCAGGAGATTCATGACATCGAGATGAGGTTAGTGTACTCTGTTTTTATGTTTTATATCTTCTCTTCCTCTTTTCCTTTCATTAAAAATGAAAAAGGAAGAAAACAGAATGTACAAGGAAAGTATCTCTCTCACGGCTTTGCCTTACATCTCTCTTGATGTAATAAAAATTCTGTTTGATGCACATTTCTGTGAAAAGGCAGGTCTTCAAAAATAATTCAAATCATACTCTGTAGCAAATATGTTACATATTAAATTATATACTAGATATAAAATAACTTTTTCCCCCGTAAAAAAATCGAGGGGGAATTTACTAGTAAAAATAGTGTACACTTGACTCCCTGTTCCACTTATTATCATTATTACCAAGTATTACCTATTATTTCCAAAATATTCCCGCACTCAAATATTAATATCTTGCTGTATAATTGCTCTAAATTATAAAATTGCTGTATAATTATTTATTACTCATATATTATTGAGTATTAAGCTATTACCAAAAATATTACACGTTGAATTTCACTTTTTGAAACGTAAATAAAAAAATATTATTTCAAATGCTTTGCAATTTGTTTTAATCAGAATTTCCCAAACGGATCACCTGAATCTAAAAAATTTTAATTTTGAACCAAAATATTTTTTCTTTACTCTTAATATCGTTAAGAAGTATCCCTCAAAATATTAAGCCAAAAAAATTTTTTTTGTAAAAGTTATTAACAATTGAATTTTTTAGTAAACTGCTAAATTAAAAAAAAAATTTTCTCTAGTTTCAATTGACGACTTTAAAAATCAAAATATGTGTTTTCTTCGTCTTAAATTGCACTATTTAAATAAATTTTTTATATTATTTGTTCATAAAATGTTAATACACAAATACGCTCTTCACGTCCTAACAATAAAATTAAAATTGTTTCCGAGTATAAAACCATTGAGAAAAAACTGAGTCTCAATTAGAAAAAAAGTTATTAATTAAAAACTGCAGCTGTGTAGAGCTTTACATGACGTTAAACTCGCGCCGTGCACAGTGGGATTTTTTTACAATTTACTGTTCAAAATTGTCTAGAGCCTACTTTTATCGGATTTTGATGGTTCTTGGTCTTAAATTAAAGGAGATAAAATATATAACAGATTCCTCTAAACCGATTTTTGAATTTTTAATTGTTTATATTTTTTTGTTACTCAAAGTTAATAACAATATACAATATTTTTAGAAAAAATCATGTGTATTTTTTTATTTTTCCATTGCACATGATCGAAATCAATTTAAATTGGTCTAGTATGTCCACCAGACAAATAATAATGGATAATGCAATTTTTTTAAATTGTTGCAAACAATGTTAATTAACAAATAGATAACTTTGGTCATTGTACATAAAAAAATTGTTTTTTTTGCAAACAAATTTATGGTATGGAGTCAAAAGTTCCAAAACAAAAGTTCCAATTCCGGAGGATCCAAATTATTATTTTCCCAAATGACATTTTTACCAAATAAGTATTATTTTTCCAATAGTCGTTTTTCCAAACATTTTTTCTTTATTTTTCAAATTTCAAAATGCAACTTCAAGTTAGGAAACTTTCAGTTATTATCGTTGTTATTTTCATAAATTGTCATTCGACGTGTGCTCATTTCAAAACCATGTTGTGAAATTAAAAATTTTATTCAAACTAAAAAATAGTAAACAGTGAAATTATATTAAATTGTAAATTAGTGAAATTAAAAATTTTATTTAAACTATAAAATAGTGAACAGTGAAATTATATTAAATTGTAAATTTTAATTATGGCAGAATTAATACAAGTCGGAAAAAAATTATTTACATATCGAAGGATTTCTGTATTACAATCATTCAGATGAGATAAATAATGTGAAATATTGGAGATGCCTTATTTTTTCAAACAACTTATTTAACAATTCAACACTTTTTATTTAGGAAATTTCATACTTTGGTAAATTTATATTTTGGACATTTTCGATACATTCCCCCTCGAAAAAAACAAAATTTTGTTCAAAAATTGTGAATTCAATTTACTAGTTTAAAAATAGGAATTTTTTCTTCTATTTTCTAAAAGAAACAGAATTTTCCGAACAAAATTCTGCTGGAGATTCGAAAAATAAGTAAAATGAGAATTTTCATTTCCTAATCATAATTTTTTAACAATTTTCTATTTAGGAAAAAAAAGAAAAAGTTTTGCGTAATTCTCTTTTTTAATGACAACTTGTCTTCAGATAAAATCGAAATTAATTGAGTTTTCATTATAAGATATTAATTAAAAGTTAAACTTGTGTGAAAAACTGAAAATAAAGTGCTTATATATCTGATTTATCAAGGAACGTGAAATTTAAATCGAGTTAGATCTTAATTTAACAGGCATTGTCTTAAATTCATCACAAATTTAATGATTTCCGTACTTAGATAATTGTCTTAAATAAAGTAGATAAAACGAGCTAACAATTTCGCTCAAATGAACGAAATATTTCTTGTATTATAATATTTTTAAATTTGACAGACTACAATAAAAAATATTCTAATAGAACATTTATTTAACTGAAACTTAATTTATTAATTATTAAAAATTTATTATTTTTAAAAAATAATTGAATTCTTTCGAAAAATATTATTAAAACTTTTAAAAAACAATTGAAATTTTATAAAAATTTTAAAATACCTAATTGAAATTCTGCGATGAGTTTTATTATTTATGAAAATACTTGAATTATTGTGAAGAAATTTATAAAAAATTTGTAAATAATAGAATTCCTGTAGAATTTTTATTATTTATGAAAGTAATTAAATGTTTGCGTAGAATTTTATTAAAATTTGTTTAAATAATTAAATCCTTTGAAAAATTTTATTAAAATTTTTAAAAATAGGTAATTAAATACCGCAAAAAATTTTATTGAAATTTTTTTGAAAAATAATTAAATGCTTCCAAAGAATTTTTATTAGTTATGAAATTAATAGAATTATATTGAAATAATTGCATTAAAAAATTGTAAAATAATTGAATTTTTTCGAGGAACTTGATTTAAATTGAATTGAAATTAATTAAATTCCTGCTATGAATTAGATTATTTATGAAAATAATTGAATTCATGAGTAGAATTTTATTATTCAATGAAAATAATTGAATTGTTTCCAAGAATTTTATTAATTATGAAAATAATAGTAGATATTGAAAATCATTGAATTGAAGAAAATTTTTGAAAAGAATTGAAATTTTGACAAGAATTTTATTAAAATTTTAGAAAATAATTGAATTTTTTCGAAAAATATTATTAAAAATTGAATTCTATCATGAAATTTGATTCAAATTGTATTAAAAATAATTGAATTTTTGTTAATAATTTTACTATTTATGAAAATAATTGAATTGTTTCGAAGGATATTTATTAAAATTTTAGAAAATAATTGAATTCTTTTGGGAAATTTGTATAACGAACTAAGAAAAAAATTGAATTCTTTCGTGAAATTTTATTGAAAATAATTGAATTTTTGCAAGGATTTTACTATTTTTAAAAATAATTGAATTGTTTCGAAAGAATTTATTAAAATTTTGTTGAAAATAATTGAATTTTTGCAAAAAATTTTACTATTTATAAAAATAATTGGATTCTTCCGAAGAATATTTATTATTTATGAAAATAATTGAATTCTTACGAACAATTTCAGTAAAATTTTTGAAAATATGAATAATAATAATTAATTATGTACTTAATATGTGAATTTTAAAAAATTTTTATTATGAAATTATTTAAAAATTTACATTGTAAAATAAAAAGTTTTGTAATTTGTACAATAATAATAAATTGAATATCACGTTCCGCGCGCATAACATTTGCGATTTACCAGTTTTGTAATAATATTTAAATTAAAAGTAGTAATAAAAATATAGTCATTAATTTTGCACGTTTAACATTTTAGGAACAATTATTAGAAATTCATTTTTTCTGCAGAAAAAATGAATTTCTAATAATTATTCCTAAAATTTTAAACGTACGAAATTTAAAAGTATTTAGAAATTATAACCAATAAGTAATTTTACATATAAAAAATATTATTTTGAGATTTTTAGTTAGAATTTAAGCTTATCAAAAATATTCTGTGCTTGTAAAGTTTATTCTAATCTTTCAAAGGGTATCAAAATCCTCGCGCAAATGATTTTCAGTTTCATATCAGTTGTTGATCGCACGAACTTTAAATTTACTATTTCCTACGTCAGTTAAAGCCTAACTGACTGCAAATTCATGTATGTACACCTAAATTCTAGGTTAAAACCTCTTGATGTGCAATTAAGTATAGTTAAGGCATCAGTGAATAAGCTTGATCTAGTTTCTTCCCTAGAAAATTAGTTGTGTCTTTGATGCCGCTCTGACGTTGAAAAGAGGCGCGCATATAATATGTAACCGCGAACCAACAAGATTTTCGAATTATTACTCAAAATTCTTTCATTTTTTTTTAATATAAAATTGTTCTTGGTTTCTTTTGAAGATCTATTCCTTCGAATTCTAGTCTTTATTCAAATTTTTTAATTTGATGGAAACTTTTGTTCATTTTTCTCAATTTTTCCTATTTTTTCAATAAAAGTTGCTACGATTTAATAATTTAAATAATAAAAGTTACTCTATATATATATATTTTTCCGTGTAACAAATGAAAAAATTTTCTCTTATTTTTTAAAATGAAAATTTTAGTTTCAATACTTTTATATTAATAAACTCTTTGCAATATATAAGAGAATTCTCTTTGAGAAAAGTAATCCAGAGAGTTCTTGAAAGCAATAATGTTAGATTTTCGTGAAAATTTCCTGAATAAAATTAGTTTAGAAATTTCTCACTTCCCTCTCTCTGGTGGCATAGAGCTCACACAGTCTACTTATCAGGTGAATTATGGGAAGTACAGGGCCGCATATTACACGCGAGTTGGCATTTAACCTATTCGATCAATAGATCTACCATATCGACGAATTCCAGAGAAAAAATATTGCTGCGAACGAATTAGGAATTCTATATCAAAAAGCTGGAACGTTG